ACAAAAGGTGCCTCAGAGGTTTCACGTACGATTTCATTTACACATCTCTTTCCACTGCTCTTTGAACTGTCATCGCTGAAACTCCTCTCTCACGTGCCCTAACGTCTTATGGATTGAGTTGGATCTTTTCTAATTGGTCTCTTTAGCTCCAAGTTGAAATGATGATCACTCTTATTGTTGTGACCTCCTAATCCAGTTTTCCTCTCTACTGTTCTCTATTTTTAAAACTTATTCTCTTGATGGTTATTGAATGGATTTTGAAGATGGAACCCTGTGTATGAGTGTTGGTACCATTACTGAAGGCCTGAATGATCTTTTTCCTCTCACCATTGTTCATTTAGGAAGACAGCGGGGCTGACACAAAATGATTTTTACCTGTTCTCTTTCTAGCCGAATAACTCAAAGGGTTGTTCAGTGTTTCTTATGGCAAAGGGTGTCAATGTCTTACCTATAAACCTAGAAAAAAAGAAACTCAATTAATCTTGTGGTTTTTCTAGATATTAAACATTTTGTGGGGTGGACAATTATGCTGTTACCTGATTTGGACAATTTCGCTGTTACGTCCAGTATATATATATATATATATATATATATATATATATATATATATATATATATATATATGACTTAGAAATATGTACACTGAGTTATTGAGCTAACAAGATAAATTTGTAAATTGTTCAAATGTAAGCAAACCTGTAATTTTATCAAATTGAATACCGAATAGAAATTAGTTTTCAGTATTGTTTTAGCCTCTATAAAATGTGACCATCATTAGGTTTGCCTGCTACACGTGGATAACAACAAAACGCTTCGTATCTCACGATAAATTCTTTGCCTCCTTTTTCGTTATTGTTCTTATGAATATACACAGCCACACCCCTCTGTCCGCAAATGGGCTGCAACCTACACACACAGAGTGACCCGTGAAAAATTTCGTGAGATAGATGTCCCATTTATTTAACCGTAACTTACGTATCAATTTCAGTAAAGACAACACACACACGCATACATACACACGCATACATACACACGCATACACACACACGCATACATACACACGCGCACATACACATGCACGCCCCCACCACCGCACGCACATAATATATACTGCGTGCTAAATTATTATCGAGATAACTTTTTTTCTAATATTTCAAAAACCGTCGAATCAATTCACACAAAATTTTCGCACAATGTTGGCAATACTGACCTGCGTAATCACTGAAATTTTCGTACTGATCTGCACAATGTAAACAAACTGGTTCCATATTTTTTTATCAGCACGGTGATTTGAGCGTGCCAAATTATTTGAAAGGTTTAGTCAAATTCCCAGAATTGAGCAAAAAAAACGTTTATTAATGTTGCACGTGAATGTTTATGATCAAAAGAAGCTAATAAATAAGATAATCAAACAAATAATAACAGATACAAAGGCACAGTATTAAACAAATTAATAGGGAATATGCTTTCCCTGTTTTGAAATTACTTGAAGAAGTCGACGATCCATAGAATTTGTTAATTGTAGGATGTCATCTGCTGTAATGCCGCGAGATATGTCAAGAATTGCTTCCCACGACTCAGCGTTGCTCCTGAATTGTCGTCCATTGGCGTATAGTCTTCGCTTCATGATGCTCGAAAGGTTTTCGATTGGGTTCAAATCCAGAGAATTTGCTGATCACTTCATTTTTCGAGGTCCATCGAAGCCTAACTGTTTCAAATATTCAGGAGTCTTGTGAGCAGCATGTGAGGGAGAATTATCTTGCATAAAAACATTGGCCCTTCTGAAGGCAACTCTTTGCCTTTTCATCCATGGTTCAAGATGCTCCTTCATAAACGCTATGTACGCATTAGCTGCCATTTTGACGCCATCTGGTACTCTCCATGGGCCCACTAATGTTTTTCCAATAATACCACCCCAGATCATTATGCCTCCACCGCCTTGTTGGCATCTCAAACGCTGATGGCGATCCTGTCCGTTCATTACCCAGCCTTTGCACCATCTATCTGGCCCATCAAGTGTTGCTTGAGTTTCGTCTGTGAACAAAACTTTAGAGAAGTCAATCTTCATATTGTCCTCGGCCCATTTCAATCGATTTTGAATGTGATTTCTCATCAATGGAGGCTTCGATACAGGTTTGACTGTTGTTGCTATTTCCCTCAGATACTGACACCGAGTACTTTTAGACACAGTAGGATCCCCAATGCGACTGAAATGCTCTTGACCGGTAAGTCCAGTGTTCTTCGTGGCCTCTCGTTTAAGTCGTGACATGAGACGACATGAAATAACCCTCGGCTTGCCTTTATCTGCCCTTTTGCGTACTTGTGTAGGGTCAGCAGTGAACTTTTTCACTGTTTGATGACACCTCCCTATCATTTTAGAAATTTCTAGGGTAGATTTACCTTTTGAGAGTTCTGAGGTGATAGTTTTCTTTTCAGCATCACTTAAACTGCTATTACGGTCCATCTTTTCACTAAATTCTTACACTTTTCTAATAATTTGGTCAGTGTTGCCAACATTGTGTGAAAATTTTGTGTGAATTGATTCGACGGTTTTTGAACTATTATAAAAAAAGTTATCTCGATAATAATTTGGCACGCAGTGTATATGGATATTTTATTTATTAATCAGATACATTTAAACGATATTTTTAGTGGATACTCATATTTGAGTAGACGCTGCGTTTATTTATTAAACAGTAGATTAATTTATTTCCGTCTACCGGCCAGAATATTCGAGAAAATTGTTTAAAATAAAATATGTGCTCTCCAACAGGATTCCAACCTGCATCTCGTGGGCAGAATGAGTATCCACTAAAAATAACGTTTAAATTGATAAAGTATATGATAGGTATATATAGGTTTTATCAGTTAGCAGTTGTGCGTAAGCATACACATGCATTGAAAATTTACTTTTTAAATCAGTATTAACTTACTGTTGAGCATTCCAGCAATCCTCCCAAAACACGGTTTTTTCAATCTCTTTTATGTTTAGATTTTTGTTGCTCGATGTTGACTTCAATGTCCACTTTTATATTTACATACGCGTTATCCCTGATATTGAGCATTTCCCCCCATAAATATAGAATATCTTAAAACTATATTTGTATCCTATATATATATATATATATATATATATATATATATATATATATATATATATATATATATATATATATATATATTGTCGCCTAAATTGCGCAAAAATGAAAATACCACCGACAACTCGTTTTAACAGATATGTTTACCAAAATTACACAAAAATATTTAAAAATACTCAAGAGTAAATTTATTTAATAAAATCGCCATTGGCTTCAACCACGACCTCTAGACGACTTTGGAATCTCTTGGAACTTTTCTGGACGATCTCTTGCTTGTGTGGCATGTTGCCAGACATAGGGTCTTCCAGCAGCCACCCTCTTGACCCAGGTCAGCACTACCTCCCTGGATATAGACCTGATTGACTTGGAGGGATCATGGCTAGGATTTGACCAACAAATTCGGGGGTTGTTTTCTTATCAGAACGATGACAGTGAGCTTTACGAGCTGCCGTACCTTCGTAATCACCATTAGACTCATCCAACTCTTTCCGAATCCTTTGGACTGTCTTCAGGTTGTCGCCCAAACACTCCGAAAAATCCTATTGGTGCTTCCGATGCGAATACCAATAGGTACAGCATGTCGTTTCCAAATTTCTGACGGTATTCAACTGACCATTATTATAAGGCGCAGTCGATAAAATAAAAAAACAAACAAACAACGCGAAATTAAAAATATAAAATGGCGACAATTTGCCCACAGCACCTCTGTGTGTATGTATATATATATATTTGCTATTTTTATAGAAGAAGAGTGCTGCTCAATATCGAGAAGGGGCATTTATAGTTACAGACAGTGTGGACATCAAACCAAATATTCCTTTAGTGAGCGATATAGATCACAGGGTGGGGGGACACACAAGAAATGGGGAATGAAGGATAACACTTTTTTTTCAATTCTTTTGTTTTGGGCCAATGCCGACAGTGATTTAGTGCCATGAACTCTAGATTGCTTATTTATTTATTCATTTATTTGTTGTTCTGGAAGGTGATTATGGCTATTTTCTGCTCTAAGCAAAGGTTATATAGTATTGGATGTGTGTGTGTGAACTCAAAAGTACAGGATAGTTAAAAAGTGAAAAGGTTTCTTAATAATAAGAAAAACGGTAGCAGAAAGTTAATTTCCTTGATTTTGGCTTTGGAAGCTGTTATTTCGATGGATGTGAAACAAACAGGCTTTTATTGGATTGTTTTTACAGCTTATCAACTTTTTGTGAGTTTTTTTTAAAGACGAATCATATTTTTGATTGTAAGAATAATTCCTTTTTTTTGTTAGTGTATATTACATTAACATAGAAGAAGAAGAAGAAGAAGAAGAAGAAGAAGAAGAAGAAGAAGAAGAAGGTCGAAATCACAAGCTTTCGCTATTTTTGTGTGCTTCACTACGGCAGGTAAACAAAGTTGTTTATCAAAACCGTACTCGTTCGTTTTTTGTACAGTTTAAAGATAGATGTAAATTCTCAGATTTCGAATGTTCCAAGTGATGAATTAGCAAGTTGTCTCGCCGACAGCTCTCTGGGTATCCATCTTGTGACAGACAAAGCTTCAAATATATCCACAAATTCTCAGACGATAGTCACCTGCCCTTGAGTGATATCGAGTTAGTCTCGCAAGCTACTGGTTCGATCTTTACATGATGTTTCTTTTTATGCCAGACGAAGCTAAGCTTAGGAAATAGCGACACAACCTCATAAAAAAACAAAACGAAAAACGATCGATCAAAAAATAAACAAATAGCGTGAAACTAACTCCGAAACCCTGAAATAGAATTCAAGTAGAGTTTGTTCAATTTACTTGCCTACTTGTAAAATCAAAACTATGAAATACGTAATTGAAAACAGTATAATTGTATCCAATTTTTGATTAACATGTACAAATTTTATGGCACAATCAACTGGTTCCCAGGTTGTATCAAATTCTCTATTAATCATCAACTATCTATCTATCTATCTATCTATCTATCTATCTATGCGTATATACATCAATAAATTCTCTTGACAGTTAATAATTTTCCATATAAAGTGTTTAATTTATGTGGATCATACAATACTGAATTAGGTGCATTGACAAAGGAGATTATATTAAAAGAATAAAACATAATTTTGTAAAAAATGCTTAATAAGTTGATTGTGCACTTTTTATTTTATCAACGTGTACCACCAGCCATATTTCCTAGATGAAGAAATAAGTAATTCCTTCAATTTCTCCTTCCAGTTGACATTTTATCTCGGTGTATACCGGTATTTACGAAGATTTTATCTCGGTGTATACCGGTATTTACGAAGATTTTTTTAGCTACACGTCTTTCATAAACATAATTGCAACTCACTAGATCATTGCTTAATTTGAGATTATGATACTAACAATAAAATTCATTTTATTCTTGAGTAATTGTCTCGTAATACAATGACAGTTTGTGAATGCATCAAAATGTTAATAAAGTTTTACAGGGTTTTTCAGCGTAAATATTTTGAAATTCAGTTTTTCTCAGAATGAAAGGTGAAATCATTTGTAATTTTTTACTCATATCCGGTTATTTTTATTTGAAATGAGTCACTTTTTTTTTTAGTAACAACAGTTGAACCGAGAATGTAGTGTAGTGTAGAAAGCTGCACATCTTGTAAAACAATTGAAATCCAGCGTCAAATTTTAGTGAATTTAGGGGCGTGAAATGTTTATTGGGCTTCAGTAACAGAAAAAACCCTGTTAAGATTCCAATGGACATGTAATGGTAATAATAATATTAGCTGTTTCTTTATAAGGAAACATCTAAATATACGTTAAAAATAATAACACGTCTATCTATCTATCTATCTATCTATCTATCTATATATATATATAATAAATATTAATTAAATAATATAATTAAATAATATTAATAAATAATATAGACTGATGTGCATTTCTCTCTCTATCTATCTATCTATCTATCTATATATATATATATATATATATATATATATATATATATATATATATATATATATATATATATATATATATATATATATAAGAAGACGGATGTACAGCTATATGTATACTGCATATATACTACATACATTTTTCTTTTCTCGCTGCTCTCATCTCTCTCTCTCTCTGTCTCTCTCTCTCTGTCTCTTTCTTTCTGTCTCTCTCTCTATATATATAGATATGTGTGTGTGTGCGCGCGCGCACGCCCGAGAGTGTGTACATAAGTAGACAGATAAATGTATATACTGTGTGTGTGTAGATGTCTGTTCAATAATGTGAGTGTGAGTTTTCTGGAGTGTCTGTGCGTGTGTAAGCGTCTCAATAGAAGCATGCAGAAGTGTCTGAGGACGTAAGTAATTTTATGTACCTGTCATGTCTTGGTTGTTATTGTTAAGAAAGCGTGGGAAGGAGACACACAGATCTATCTCATGAGGACAACAGGTCTTGAATGACACCAGAAAAATATACTTAGCCCACCTGTCCCAATGTGATTCTCCACTCCTATGTCCGCCCTTCCCACTTCAGACATCCTCTAGGGATAACATTTTTTTTTTTATTATCCCGCAACTGCTCGATTTAATGAGTTCAATTACTTCCTTGGCTGACCGGGAAACAAATGAAGATGAAAAGAAAAGAGATTAGAAATGATAATAAGAAAAAGAAGAAGAAGAAGAAGGCAAAAGTTCAAAAAAAGACTTGCAACTAAACGATCAATATGATATAGAAGGTGAAAGAATGCCAAAACATCAAACAAAAAGCAAAAATTAAAGGCCTGGAAATCCTGAATAACAAATGGGAAGAGAAACCCGTATATGGTCGATATCGCAAGTATATGACCCTGATATCGACAAAAATCTGACCCAGTAGCAGTTACGGAGTTCGGGGTTAAAATAAAATCATGAACAGAAGGGTTCATCCTGGCAGCTAACAAGCACATATTTTAAGGAATGGAGAAAATACAAAATGTCGTTTCCATGCACAAATTAAGGAAACTATTGAAACTATAAGAACTTCTACAGAAGGTAGTGAAATAAAGTTCGAAGATAGGACTAAACATCAACTGCAAGAGGAAATGCTTGGTTGTTAGTAAAAGGAACAGCACAACATACAAATTACAAATTGGAGATAGCAAAATCGAACAAGTATAACAATTTAAATATCTGGGAAGTGTTTATAAGAGGACGGAAAATGCGACACTGAAATCTGAAGGTGCATGGTGTAGCGAAAGGTGCCCTTCAAAAGCTAAGCAAAGTATTAAGAAACTGGAATATTTCGTTAGAAACAAAGTTAACTGCTACGTAATATCAGTTTTATTATATCAGTGAATGCTGGACAATTTCCTCACAGACGAAGAAGAGACTTGATTAACAGAAATGGTATCTACAGAATGATATTGAGGATACCATGGACTGAACATTGGAGCAATTAAGAAGTTTTAGACAAAATGGAAATAAAAAGGACGCTTATACTTAACACCAGGAAGAGACAGTTGGAATTTCTAGGGCACATAATGAGGAAAGAGGGTTTGGAAAATCTGATACACAACAGATTGAAGGCAAGTGTGACAGTGGAAAACAACATATAATTTACCTTGAGTGGTTGAGTAAATGGATGGCGGAGAAAAGTTTAGGAGTGATAACAAAAAGACAAAGTTTAAGAGCTACAAGGGGCAGGAAATTGTAGAGAGTAATGATCACCAACGTCCTGAAGAGACACAAAACAAAGAAGAAGAAGAAGAAGAAGAAGAAGAAGAAGAAGAAGGTCTGGTTGCTCTATTGTAACGCCACATGAATTTTTAAGAAAACAAGATAGAGCAAAACAATACTTTCATTGGAACAGATACCAACATTATAACCTGCTTTATACAGAAAAAAAAGGAATGAGTAAAAATCACCACCAGTTCGGTAAGATGATGGCGTTATATTGTCCAAGGACTTCACTACATATGCCAATTGCATTATACAAGGTAATAAATTTGACATTGTCATATAAATCTTGAAAGAACATAAATGCTATGTTATCGACTTGATCATATCGTCTGATAAAAACATTTCAGCAAAAGTATTTGATAAACTCTATAAATATACGGATATGAAAATAGAAATGGCCGAAAACACAATCATTGTTTTAGTTGTAGAAGAGGCACGAGGAATTTTTAAGAAGTTTTTTGATACAGGCATTCAGAAAATCACAGGAAACGTTTCTTTATGGGAAATGCAAAAGTTTTTGCTAATGAATATTGTTGATATACATCGAAAAAATCTTTCAATCCAATATGCTCAATGATCTCTTATTAAAAAAAAATGTATTTACTTCTGGTCTCAGGTGAATGACTTGGTAAATGCTTGGATCAAAAGAGTAAATCAGAAAAAACAAAAACAAAATAATGATGATAATAATAAAAGGCAAGTAGAGGACAAAGTTAGTATTGAAGATTGTGTCGACTCTGATATCAAGGGACTTGAGAACTATTGTATTGAATGACGTATAAGACTCATTCTATGATCAAAATGGCTAAAAATATTTCTTGTGTCTTCTTTTTGCTTTCGAGCACTACAAACCTAGAAACCTTCCGAACTTACAATCACTGTGATTGACCAAAAGTAAAGAGAATAATTAAATCATTTTACTGGATTATTTATTAAACATAAAGCAAATACTTCCTATTGCAAACATACTGAATTTATTCAACATTTAATACCGTAGACATTGTTCTTGAGAATTTTAGGGAGTGTTCAAAAACGTGTTGCCACCATTTTTCATTGTACGGCCAGGGCAGACGATTTCAAATAATAATTTTTAACGGTGCGTTTTATAAGAAAAAAAAATTTATTGCAATTTTTGCTATTGTTCCCAAAATTGAATAATTGATTTCCCAAATCTAATAATTGATTTTTCTTTAAATTTTAATATCACTTTTAGGCGTTGTATTCAACTTGCTTACAAACTAGTTGAGCTGATGTACTTCAAGAACCTGAAGTAGATATACATTTCTGGACAATCTATTTTGATGCATTAAGGTCTTTATATTGCACTATTATGATTCAGTGTTTCCAGATCTTATTTACTTGAATCTCTCTTGTACAAAGACATCTTTTAGAAATGAGTAAAATGTAGCCTCAAATAATTAGATACAACTACTTAATAACATTTAGATCCTCCCTTCATTCGAATAACGGTGATTACGCAACGTGGCATAGTATCTATGAGGTGTTACAGGAGTTATTGCTCTATATAACTATTCAGACGTATTCCAATATTTATTTGATGTGGCTGCAGAGAATTAGTGGCGGACTCCAAATGTCCCAACATGCTCAATGGGTTGTAAATCTGGCAGGTTGTAAATCTCGCAGGGCCAATGGAGTGTCAGGAAGTCAGCCGGGTGTTCCTGAATCCAGTTTCATGTCATTAGCACATGGCAGGGTGGAATATGCATTATATAAATTAGTTCATATCAGGTTTTGTTTTAATTTATTTTGCTCGGTGTATCAAGAAAATACTAATTAAAACAGATTTAATTAATAAAACCGAACTGTATCGATTTATAAAATCGTTAATTTATCGATCAAAAAGCAATCTAAATTATTTGGTACATCGACTTGAATTGAATCGGAACGCAGCATCATAAATTAAAAATATAAACCAACTAAAATATTTATTTTGGAATTCTATAGAATCTTTTAATTCCACGTTGCATTCACGTTAGATACTGAGTTATGTCCCTTTACGTATATGAAAATGAATGGCATTTGTAGTGTTGGAACTTTTTTGGTAGGAATGGACGCCATCAGGCTGGAAACATTCTTGAAAACTAAACAAAAATAGTTTTCATAACAATAGTAAACCTGAATATAGCGACGATTATTTGTAGTCGGCATCTTATCAACCGAAATCACATTTTCCGACTCGAACTAAAATCGACTAAATTTATTTCAATTTGGTTAATAAAATAATGAACAGCTTAAATTATCATGATGAAATCTCTTCACGATATGAATATCTATGCAGTCAATAAAATGTTCTACTACTTAAGATGTCGGATTATATTTTAACGTCAGTGCATTTTAACAATTGATAGTGTTATGGGACTGTACAAACAAGAAAATCAAATATGATATTTAAAATTATAAATAGTGGGCTTATTCAACAGTCAAACAATAGAATGACTTTTTAAATTTGTACAATTTGCATCAGACAAAAGAAGAGATTTTTAACGTGAACATTTTTTTCTTTTCGGGTGTATGTAATCTATGAATTTGAGTTATTTCGAATTGGCTCATGGTATGATTACCTAATAAGGAATCGCATCATTTTTCTGCAGTTTAAAATAACCTCTATTTTGCATCCTGGAAATAGACCAATAAAATTAATTTTGATTAATACAATAAAAACAGTTAATAGTTTCATTACGGCTGACGTTCATGTGATTACAGAATGAGATTTTACATGAAGTGCACGTACAATGATGACATTTGTATCACATAATTTAAACAAAAATATGAGAGAACATTTGAAATCCCTGCGAACCTTCAATAATTCTATAAACCTTGAAGGTTGTCAGACATATCAATGATGATCTTTTAATTTTGTTAGATTTTAGTTTCTTTTGCTTTTATTTAAACGAAAATCCGAAGTACAAGAAGCAATAAAAGTATTGAAATTCTGGCAGTTTTCGAGCATTATATTAGACTAAGTGTGAAAGCCACTGAAGCTACTCAGGACAGGAGATAAAGAAATATTTGACCATCCTGCCTAAAACGGGTTAAAACGTTTTGAAGGTTGGTAACTTTCCCTTGAATTAAAGTTCAAACATGGATGACGTTCACTTTTCAAGTATGATGCTTTAAAATACGAGTTCTAGGAGAAACCGAACACCAGTAGTTGAACGTTTTAGATCAGCTCGGATCATCGAGAGAAACAATGAATAGAGCATGCAATAAAAACGAAAGTCATTTTGATACATCCCACGACATAAACTCAATTCACCTAGCACATTCAAAAATCCGGAAGACCTTTCGAGTCTGTGATTATTGAAAATCAGTTTATCAGTTTTATTTCAAATCTTAAATATTTAAAACGAGAAAAGTCAAAATCAGATTCATACTTGTTTTTAATCTGTGCTGTCTGGAGATATGTTCCTGATTATAAAGAATTATAAAGATTATAAAGAATCAGTTATTAGTTGCTCTCATGAGATTCAAATCGACGGATAAATGCAGATACATCTATCTATCTATCTATCTATCTATCTATCTATCTATCTATCTATCGATGTCGTGCTTAATTTCTTTTTGTTTGTATGTAAGAATGCGTAAAAGAGAGATTGTGTATTAATTGAACTGATTAAGGTATTTCGATATACCTTTGTTCAATAACAGAAATATTTTCACATGCGTGGATATTTTCGCGCCATTTTTTACGTGTAACTTCCAGCACCACTTTGCGTTTCTGTGTGTGCTTTCGTGTATATGTAGATTTATTTGCGTGTTTGTGTATATCGTTCTTGGACGAGTAAATACGCACGCGTATTTTTTACGTTCACTCCTTGTAAATGCGTGCGTGTGCGCTGGTGTGTTCATATGTATGCGTATGTGCATTATTTTCGTATATCCCGCCGGCTGTTACGGCTTTAAAAACTGTTGATGACATGGTGGTATTGATAGTGCTGTGAGAGATGGCGATGAGGGGGTCGAGTGTAACAATGAGGCAGCGAATAACGGTTGACAATGTTGTTTGTAACGGGAGTCTGTCGGGGTGAATGGCGGGCAAAAAACAAAAAAAAAAAAAAAAAAAGATGGCAGCTAATCTCGTCTGTTGGCGCGTGCCCGAGTGTGCCAAACGGCTGCGTTCACTCTATTGTGCGATTTTATTTTGGTTGGCGGGGGGAAAGGGAGATTCTGTGAAAATTTTATTTTGTTAGTTTATTGTTGCTTTATTCTAAGAAGAGGTAGAAGAGGGATGTTAGCCATTTTTGCCTTTCCCTAAGCTATTGAAACATGTCAAGGGTAACAATGGCGGATGTTAATAGGAAGACAATATGACAAGAAGAGAGTATGGTAAAATAAGTGAGAAGAAATAGATGCGAAAAGAAAAATTAAATTAAAGAGAGATAGAGAGAGAGAGAGGAAGAGAGGGGAAGAGGAAGAGAAGGAAAGAGACGAACAGAAGTGTCACTGAAAGAACGAAAACATCCAAAGAAATGGAAGATCATAAAGGTTAGAAAGAAAGCGTAACAGAAAATAGAAAGACCAAATAAATTAATGAGAGAAGATGGAGTGTGGAGAAAAGAAAGAAAATAAAGATAAAACAAAAAAGAAAGAAAAGAAGAACGAAGATAGGAGAAGAGAACAAAAACAAGAGAAAAACTAAGGAAATGTGAAGAGAAGAAAGGAAAGAATGAAGAGGAATTCTGGGAGAAAAACAGAAGGAAAAAAGGAAAACAAAATAAAAGTAAAGAAACAGTGATTAAGAGAGAGAGAAAGAGAGAGAGAAAGAGAGAGAGAGAGAGTGAGAGAGAATCAAGCACAAAAAAGATATTGAAAGGTAATTAAAATATGATGGCTAAGAAGGCAAAGAATTTATGCTTAGAGAGAAGAAATGCAAGAAGATGAGTAGAAGAATAGAGGGGAGAGCTGGTCGGAAGTAGAAAAGAAGAAAATGGAAATAAACTAAGAAGAGTAAAGAGAAAGAGAGGGAAATTAAAGAAAATAAAAAAAGGTAAGAAGATACAGGAGCAAGAAGTGTAATATGGCGGAAAAGAAAAGAAGAAGGCATTACAAAAGCGATGATGAAAAGAAAGGAAAGGAAAGACGATATATAGTAAAAAAAATAACAGAAAAGAAAAAGACGGAGAGAGAAGGACAGAAAGAGAGAGCTTGAGAGAGAGGGGTGAAGAGTAAACAGAAAAAGTCAAAGACAAAAGAACAAATAGGGGAAAAGAGGCGGGAACTGATGACGCTTCTCACTAGAATCCGTGGGAATGTTTTGGGATCACAGCTATTTTGAAGGAAAAGAAACTAAATCTCTTACACTCGACGACACCACCATCCCTTAATTCTCACAAGCCTTAAACTTATTTCACACGACTTGGTAAAGCGACGGATTAGTTGCGTTTGTACTCTTCCTGTGTATATATACGTGTCCTTTTAACAACATCTATGTGAATATATCAGTCAGTGTATCTGTATGTCAGTGAAAGCGGACGTTAAAAGAGCTAATTCTCTCTTTGTTAATCTCCATACATACACACCTTCACGCATATGCATCTGGACATTTAATTTTATACTCAATTGTGTGATTGAATTTTACGTCACACACACACACACACACACACACACACACACACACACACACACACACACACACACACACAGACACACGAAAGTGGATCAGTAAGTCCGTGTAACCTGACACATAGGTCTGAGACAAATTTTCATATGAAATTTTCACTGTACAATGTTCAATCTATGTGATTCATATTCTACACCGAATTAAGTGAACGAAATGAAAAATTGAACGAAAAATTGGAAAATATTCAAATAACTTGTTTAAAACAACACACATTTTTACAAACACACACACACACACACACACACACACACACACACACACACACACACACACACACATATATATATATATATTATTTATTATATAAGAATAAAACAAAGAAATGTTAAAAATCGCTACACAATAGCTTTCATGTTTTAGCTCACAAATTGTGCCTCCTGAGGAGATGGTGAGTCATATCTCATACCTGGACATGGCTATATATATATATATATATATATATATATATATATATATATATATATATAAAGAGATAATCATACATTGAATCAATTAGCAATATTAATGTATTAATGGCGAAATCTCTTCGCTAACAGACTTAATATAAGCATTAATCTACTAACAATCCACTGAATGATGCGATCCTTATGTATAAAATTGTTGTCAGATGGATCTGGTATATTTTTAGAGCAGCAAGTACTTTCAATGACTTCATGTCCTCATCATTAGGCTGTAATTTTTTATTTAAAATTAAAACTCGGAGACGAAATAAATGTGTTGAACACCAGATTCATATGACAACAATTTTATACATAAGGATCGCATCATTCAGTGGATTCTTAGTAGATTAATGCTTATATTAAGTCTATTAGCGAAGAGATTTGGTCGTGGTCGTGGAGGGTTTCCTGCGTAATTCTCTCCAGAAGAAGGTTGAAGAGTGTTGGAGAGAGTAGGCATCCCTGTCTAACGCCGATGGTCATCTGGGAGAAATCTCCCACTTGTTTACTCAAGAGAACTGCACTGGTGGCATGGTCATAGAGGGCCTGGATGACTTGCATGAGCTCTTTTTATATGTTGAATCCTCAGACGACTGGCCAGAGGCCATCGTGCCATACTCGAAATGCTTTCTTGAAATCAGTGAAATTGTTCCCTCTGGTTTTGCAGATGTTTCTCGATGAGGATCCTACAGTTGAAGATTTATTTCACTATGCCCCGCCCGGCTCTAAAACCAGCCTGCTATTCTGACAGTAATTCTAGATTTCAGACGGTGGAGGAGCATGACCTTGCTGGGGTGGGTAATCAGGCTTATCGTTCTATAATTCTGGCATAGCTTCAAATCATCCTTCTTTGGTAGCGGTATGACCAGTGACTGAGCCCACTCTTTTGACCTTTTCTTCTGTTCCCAAATCGGCCCGGGTACTGTCCAGCTTGCAGTAAAGAGGTATCTGGAAGGAGTTCGTAATTGTACAGACCATCGCAGTATTCAGTCCACCTATTCATAACTACCACTCTGTCTGTCATCTATGACAGCTGCTCTTGGCTGGCCGATTTTTGTGAGAGATTTGAGGGTATTGTAGACCATGCTGTCACCTGATTATATACCCTTCTCACTGTTACTGCGCGGGCTCCTCTATCCACTCCTCTTTGGCTTCTTCCTGACCTCTCTGTGCACGTTTTGGTTCTGCGTCTGAGCTTCATCACTTGAGTACTTCTTTCCTCTTAACTCTCGCCTCTTGTCGCACAGATTCAGGATTTTCGTGATCCACGGCCAAATATTCTTTTGTAGCTTTTCCGACATAGAATAGCTTAGAAATAAAAAAAGGAAAAATAAATTTATTCTTATCCTTGACAAAAATTGAAGAATCTATTTTTATATTTATACTCATCGATCATAAAAATCCATCAACAGAAATGTATTGTCGAAATTTAGAAATGAGCAAATGATCATTACTCATTGCGTTTTGATATGCTCGCATTTAAAAATGAAGTTCACTGTGAAAAGCGTTATAATTGCATGTTTTGAAACAGAAGAGTAAGACACTGATGGAGAGAGAAAGAGAGAGAGAGAGAGAAAGAGAGGAGGGGAGAAACAAAGAAACGGAAGTGCTTATAAATTTATCACTCACTATTGGCCACGTACAAGAGGTCATCTACTACGTGTCAAGAAGTGACACTAGCCACTTACCAATTGTACTTAAGATGCAGTTTCAAACTACAAGCAAGCGCCATGTCTCTTCTGGTGGCGCCAATTTTTTCGTTCTGCATTCGTAAAATAGTTGCCCCAGTACGGTAATCAAGATCCGAATTCAAGTCACATTCCCTTGACTATATTTGTTCTATTAAGAATATCAATGTAATGCTATCTATCTATCTATCTATCTATCTATCTATCTATCTATCTATCTATCTATCTCACTCACTCACTCATATATATATATATATATATATATATATATATATATATATATATATATATTTATTATATATTTGAACAAAAATTTCGCTTGAAGATGAAACGGAGCCCTTTTTAATATCAACTCAATTTAATTTAAAGGATTATATTGAAGTTTTCGGCTCTTGTTTTGAAACATGAGACCTCTTATGTAGCGATTTGGAATCATATTTTTAAATAAATAATTATATTTATGCTCTACTTTTGTATCGAGCACTATTTTTTAAAAATAATAACAAAAATACTAAGGAACTTTGGACTATTTACCTAACCAGTTCCTTCCTATTTTCTATATATTTTCACATATTATATATATATATATATATAAGGAATAATATCGGGAATAGAGCGTATGTAAATATAAAAGTGGACATTAAGATCAACATCCAGCAGCAACAGCCTGTTTTATGCTAAAACGCAATCTTCAAGATATGGCCTGAAGAATACATTTAAGCATGAAACAGACTGTCGGAACTTATACTCAAATATGAGTATCCACTAAAAAAAACGCTTAAAGGGATCGGATTAATAAATAAAAAATC